TTTTCAATGGCTTCGTGTCCTTTATCTTTTCGTTTATCTTAGTCCTCTTTCCACCAAAACATGACACTGTTATTCATCAGTCATTCGGGATGATTGTTTTTCCGTCTCCCTCTAATCTCTGATCATCTGTAAACATCTTGTTGCAGGTACTGTTTCTTCTCTCCTTAAATACTGCTTGTAACATTACAGTCTAATTTGTGGTTGGTCTGTAGGTGCAATTCTATTGAAAGTGGTGTGAGAAATTGCTAAATCAACGTGTCAAAGTGATTGGACTCAGTGATGCCAACAGGAAATGATAGTTTCAGTTTAGGCACCCCTTCCACCCTCAAATGATTTTTGACGTTGTTCTTGAGTCACTCCACCCCAGGTGATCGGAATGCTGGCAGTGCAGTATGTCAGACGAACTTCAGAGGAAGAAGCTGAAAAGTAAATAAGCTTCAAGGGCTTTTGTATTCAAAATTGCAGTCTTGGAGTGAGTGGAAAAAATACCGTATTGGGACTTGAGTTAAATTCAGAAGTTGGCTGAGGTCATGTGCCTCTACACTATCCTTATCAAGAGGTGAATTTTTTAAAAAGAAGAATAAATTTAAATGTGATTGTGAAGCGTTGGTGGCAAAGCGATTGAAGTACAGTATTTCTTCTTTGGGTAGACAGACATTCCTTGGGGACAGCGATCTGGAAAATGTTTTAAGTAGCTACCTTTAAATTGCAAATAAAGTGAGATTGCACTGATTTGACTGAACTAAATTGTTGTTTATTTTACTGTTTAGTATTTGGTTACTTATTACCATTCATTTGAGGCGTGAAATGTATTGTTACGTACTGGGCCCTATCCAATTTTCTGCTGCTTGTGAAATCCATTAATATGACAGGTGTTGAGTGTTGCGTTCTCGGAATGTAGCTGCTAGTCTTTGATTTTTGTAGGTAGATGCAGAATAAGGTCCTGATTGCGTGGTACTCCGTACGAATTAACTTGTTAAGTGATAGAACAGGTCTGAGGTATTTATGGCTAAAGGGACTATTAACGACAGACACATCAGAGGGTATGACACAGTGCTGTACACTCCTGTGTAAATCAACTGAGTCTGATTTTTAAAGTTTTGGTAGGTTAAAATTTATTTGCAGGTAGGTTAAAATTTAATTTTAACTGCTTACCTAGCTATGGCTGTAAAAAACCAAAAAAACCCACAAACCAAATCCCAAAATGAAACCTAACCAAAAAAACCACCCCACTTTCGTTAGCCTGAACCTTGAAGTGACCTTTCCGATAGCCGCTTCTTCACTCGCCGTAGCCCCTCTCATCCGTGCTGCGTATCATCTGCTAGAAACCACTGTGAAAAACAAGCCCTGGTCTGCAGTGTGGGGTAATGTGCTGGAGACGTTTCTTTGTTTGATACGCTGCGAAGAGCTGTTTCCTCTTTGTCTGATGAGGCAGGGCTTCTCGCCTATCCGTTCAAGGCTAACAGATGTCTGAAATCCAGACTTCCTCCAGTGTTATTTTTCCTTTTGGATTGCTGAAGAGCAAAATAACTTTGCTCCCCTTTGAATAGACTTCAGCTATTGTAACGATAAAGAATAAGGAGGGTTTTTTCCTCCCGGTTTCTTTGCTCTCTTGGATGGGACAGGATTTCTGGCATTCTATTCCTTCCATGGTTTCCAATTTGGGGGTCTTTCTCCCCTACAAATAGCTCTCTAGGATGTGTCTGTGCAGCTGTTAGGGCTTACCGAGGCAGCAGTAGCATAACCTTACTGTCACTCCAGTTTTACTGTTTTTCTTGTCGCTGTTGAAGCTGCAGAAGACACATTCTTGTAACTTAACTCGGTGAGTCTGGTCATAAATGTAGAGAATAACTGCCGTACACCGCACCCTCGCAGGAGGGGGTGCGCAGCAGAAGAGGTTGCGAAGCTTTGTGGGTTGGGCTGTAGAGATAAACCCCTTCAATTTGATAGCGTAGAGATGCATTGCAAAATGTATTTCCACTAAACGTTCAGCATGACGTATTTCTGAAGCACTCGGTGGAAAATGCTCCGAGTGTTGTGCGCGGTAGGAAAACTGCTGTCGTGGCTCTGCCTTTATGGGTATAGAATCCTTTCCAGAAAGAGCCAGGGCTTACTTGGCCAACTGTAGTGTTGCTTGAGTTGTTATTTCTCAGTTTAACACCTCCTAAAGCTTGTTCAGAGCTGAAGGATAACATGGTATTAGAGTAGCTACTGCCATCGCCACCAGTGTTTGGGCATGATATTCAAGGTTTGATGTTGGAGGGCAGGTGCTTTTTTTAGGGGTTTGCACGTGGCTCAACATATGCCTCGTTCTCAGCAAGCACGGTTCATTTGTTATGTGGACAGGTTTTGTGGGAAACTGGGCAGGCTTGTGGCTTTGAAATTCTTGTTGTTTTTATCAGGAATAGTGTTTTGTTGATTATGATTAGGTAAGAAAACTAGTGGTTTAATCACACATGTGAGTAGCCTTTACTGCTGTGTCATAAAAATCGTGGTTTGAATAATATTACAAGCAGGCTATTGAACCTTGTAGGCTCCTTAAAACCGGCCATATCACTTACTAGACATGCACAAGTCATTTTTACTAGACATTCATAAGTCATTTATTAGCTTTGTGTTGCCTTTTCAACCTTTGTATAAGAATACCTTAAACCCTTTTGTATTAACTGTAACCTGCTGGCTGAGGATTCCGAGCTGTTGATTCATTTAGCGATCATGATTACCGTGTAGGATACTGAAATAATAGCATTTATGACCTTATTTAAAACCCTTTATTCTTTCTAAAAGCTGCTTTTAGCTTATTCTACTTGGTGCAGAGCAGTAAACTTGACATGCGGATGCTTTAACGCTGATCCCTGGAGCGAAATGGGATGTTTGTGGGTTGCAAATAGAGCGGTGGAAAGGTGACAGTAGAGCCAGTTCTGTGAAGTACAGTACAATGCTTCATCACCTCAGCTGCTCTGCCATAAGGGCGTTGGGCATGTTACTCATCTGCAGTATGTGCAGTGTAGCTTGTCCTTGTCCACCTAACCATCCTGGGTAGCGTAGGATGTACCTGTGGTTATGGCAGAGTGGATGCTGTGTCCCAAGTGCAAGTTCTAGTGTGTATGTTGGTGGTATAGAATAGTTAGTTTATGGCAACATCCGCCATTCAGTAGGTAAAACAAATAACTTTTCATGTTTGTGAGCTCTCTGCACTTCTCAGAACTCTGAGTATGTTGTTTTCCTTAAGTCACCATTTAGTCTTTCTCCCAAGTGATACGTTTTTACATAAGGCAATGCCAGAAAGTGTTTTAGATGGGCTTTTTTAGAGCTGATTAGCTTGAGTATGCCTGGAAGCCATCATTTGAAAAGGGAAAATAAAGAATTGCTAATATATATGAAGTTATCCTCAGTGTGGTGGGTAGCTGACGCTCTGGCTTTGCGCTGTGTGCCCGAAGTCACCACTTGGGTTTTCTAGGCAAGTTAGTCCCGTTTCTGCAGCTTTACGGCATTCTGTCCGTCAGGCGCAGGGGCGTACGCAGTCGTGTCGTTGGGAACTTCCATGGGCGTCTTTAGAGAATGATTGACAGGATCAAAATGAAAGGCTGGACGAGCAGGTCTGGACCTTCAGACCGTAAGAGCTGGAATTGCTCTTTGTTTTGAAACTTCGAGATGTCCTTGTACCCTAAGCTGAAATACCAGTTAGCTTTCAAAGAGTACAAAACTCGGGTATACTCAGTAAAATGCCAGTGTGTCTTGGTTTTCAGTTAAAAGAATTGAAGGAGTCTTTAAAAAATATATAGAAAATGGGAAATAATTAGAATTGTGTGTTGAGTATAAATATTTTTAGAACTTAACAACTTTCAGCATTTAATTTCCTACTTCTTTACTGATAGACATGCCTTTAATAGTTAAATATTTGTTTTTTCATTGCTATTGGTCACCATTATTTTTTATGGCCAGACATTTAAGTCAAAGAGCAAATGAAATGGATGATTGCTGGAACGTAAATGTTTTTCCAGCCATCCTTTTCATTAATGCTGTCAATTATGATAACGGTATGCTACGCGCCACACATCCAAAGCCGATCTAATCAAGCCTGTATGATATTACTAACAGTTACTGAAATCTAATTGCCGAGGGTCGTAAAGGAGAAACAGGATGGTTTGAAATACAGTGAAAAAAGCTCCTGTTCTTCCTGTGTTCTGGCTCTTTTGCTGCATCCTGGTTTAATTGGTGTACTTCAGCGTGGCAGTTCACTTGCCTCTCGCTGCTGTAACTGCCAGTAACATATTCAGCTTGAAATTAGAAGAAAATTTCCAAGTTGCCATTTCAGCTAGGATTGCCTCCACCCCCACGCTCATGTAGATGTATCCAATGTGTTTGTCCATCATATTGGGAGGAATGATGTGTGTGTTAGAAGCATTTCTAACAACTCCTCTCATCTTCTGACTGTTCGGAAAGCACAAGTACACAGCTAACAAAGATTCCTACCAAAAGCATCATGTGTTCCTCTTAAAGATGCTGCTTTTCCAGAGCACCCAGACACGTTTTCTAGCAGAAGAGACTGCATTTAAGATCTCGCCTACAGCTGAAACATCAAGTCATGAAAATGTTTTGTGGCTTGTTCTCAGAAAAGATGAGGTCTGACTGCTAGATAACTCTGTTGTAGCTAAGGGAAAAGTAATCTACCTCCTTTTTTAATTGGGTTAGACTTTCCAGTCTGCAATTTAAAGGGAAAAGTAATCTACCTCCTTTACTTTTTTAATTGGGTTAGACTTTCCAGACAGGTTACGTAAGAGCTAGTATATTTTTGTGCTCCATGTTTGGTTTTTTTAAAATTTGAGTTCATCTAGTTTAAGAATAGAATTAAACATGCTGTTTACAAATGTGCTGTGTGATCAGAGTAATTCTAAGGGTTCAGTAGAATGTTTAAGGGTCTGGAGATTTTTATAGCGATAACTCATAGATACTAAAACTCCCGAGCTGTTTCTATGAACACTTCTGTGCTGCTTGTTTGAAGAAAGTCTGAGCATAACAGCCTAGGCAGGTAGATCAACTTTACAATGTATTTAATCTGAAATTTGGAAGAACGTGGATCAGAAACAGCACAAAGGAATGTTGTCTCAGCATAATGTAGCATGTAACAGCGCTGTTACTGACCTAATTCCTCGTGAACCGCGGCTTCTCGTGGCATGCCTGGTCAGTGAAAATAATGTAACTGAAAACTATTCCATAGACAAGTTTTAGATGACCCTATTAATGAGCGGTTTCAAAGACTTAACACTAAGCCTGAACTCATACAAAATCGATAATGTGAAAAACAGCTGTGGTAGAGAACCACAGCACTTCTCATTCGTCTTCAGGTGTAACGCAGTAGTGCTGTCAGGTACGTTGAACTCAGACAGGAGGAAGAATCATAGAACGGTTTGGGTGGGAAGGGACCTTAAAGATCATCTAGTCCCAACGCCCCTGCCATGGGCAGGGACACCTTCCACTAGACCAGGTTGCTCCAAGCCCCATCCAGCTTGGCCTTGGACACTTCCAGGGATGGGGCATCCACAGCTTCTCTGGGCAACCTGTCCCAGTGCCTCCCCACCCTCTCCGGGAAGAACTTCTTCCTGATATCCAATCTAAACCTCCCCACTTTCAGTTTAAACCCGTTACCCCTTGTCCTGTCACTACAGGCCCTTGTAAAAAGTTCCCCCCAGCTTCCTTGTAGCCCCTTCAGGTACTGGAAGGCTGCAGTAAGGTCTCCCTTCACCTTAGGGAAGAAGGAAGAAAGCACCTTTGCCTCTGTTCTCCAAGTAACTCAAGGGAGAATTTTTATTTTTAGCAAAGGCCAGGGAAAATTAATGAAATGGCAAATGGCCAAAGAGATACACGAAAGCCAGTTGGGTTTACTCACTGTATACTGCTTGTAATCAAACCCCATCCGTTGGCTAAACAAAAGAATAATTACAGCAGTTGTATTTCTCAGTGTTTTACCTGTATCTCTCATATGCTCTTTGAGCTCCCCATTAAAGCATAAATAAATGTAATGAAAATAATAGTGAAAAGTTGAATGTTCTGACAAAAAGCTACTTTTAGGTTAGCGTGTGGGTGAGGGACCCTAGTTGAAACGACAGTTTGGAAATTTTACTTGCATTTCAAGTCAGGAGTTTTTGTAGCTCATGTGGGTTGATCATCTGTTGTGTTATTGTTTTTCTCTGTTAATGGTCATGACCCTTCTGGCTTTTTGACTTGTAGAACACAACTGAATCTCCCGTCGCTGTGGAGACCTTGGATGATGTACCTGAGCATGTGCTTAGGGGGCTTCCTGAGGACGTGAGGCTCTTCCCATCTGCTGTTGACAAGACACGGCTTGGTGAGTGCTACAACTGTGGAAAGAGAAGGAGGATTTTTACACTAGCTCCTGTACGTCAGATTTGCTGTGAAAATTTGGTGCCTTCTGTGCTGGGTAGGGATGATGTCTGGTGCATTCATCTGAAATAACTTCTGGGGGAAAGACTGGACAGGTTCTAAGTTTCTCCAGCATCCCAAGGTGATGTTCCTGGAACGTCAGAATTGGGGTGAAAGGTGGGCCAAAATGCAAATGGATTAGGTTATGAAAATACCGATACGTTACTTCACTGGTGTTGTCACTTCTAACACTTTCACTTTGACCAGTTTGGTGTTTTGCAGCTATCTTACTGTTGTCTCTCTTCAGAATGCTGTGTCTCACTGCCCGATCAATATAAAAAGTTCAGTGTGCAAGAACGGGTTCAGTGCAGGCTTGAAAGCTGCTATATGGAGCACTGTGCTGTTTCTGTAACACGTCCAAAATGCTTGGCTTCTTTTAACAGAGTTTAATGTGGGAGAACGTAGATGGAAGTCAGAATGGCAGCCTGGATACTTACGTTGCAAGCTGCTAGTTTGAGGAATCAGCCTGACAATAGATGCGTTCCTGTTAGTACCAGGTTATAAGCTCCGTGGAGCAAGGTTCATCTTTTCTGGAATGAACCTGATCCATCATGGTCTGAATGAGACTGTTATGTTTAATTACCAATTATTTGTCAATCTGTTCTTAGTTTTCGTGCTGTAAAATGTGAAATGCAGCTGTCCGTTGTCAGATCAGTTACATCTTGTCAATAAATTTGTGGGCAGATGCACATAATTTAACCAGTCCTAAATGTTTTTCCCTTCAAAGTATACTATTAATCAGTTTCACAGCTTTTTTGTGAGGACTTAATTTGCCTGGCATAGTTTCAGAGAAAGTAAATAGAATTTTTGTTTTAATAACATGTTTACTCAGCAACTCACAGCTGAAATCTGGGACTTTACAATCCAAAACCTGTAATGCTCTTATGGTATTTTGAGTATCACCTGAAATAGAAGAAAAATTGAGACTGGTTTTGTCTTCAGTAGCCCACGAGCAAAGAGTGAAACCAGGTAAATGCTTAACCTTTTCATGATTGACTTTGAGGAGAGGCTCGTTTAATTTCATTTTAGTAAACTTTAACTTCCTTACTGTGTTGTTATTATTGCAGAATGCTCCCCAGTCTGAGACAGACACATATAATGATCTTAAGAAATAGGAAAAGTGGGTGGAAGGTTTGCTTGAGATAAGTTAGATTAGTTGTAACTACCGATGTGTGTCTCTTCAGGTGTCTGGGCAACAAAATCAATTTTAAAAGGCAAGAAGTTTGGACCATTTGTTGGTGACAAGAAAAAAAGATCCCAAGTGAAGAGCAATGTATATATGTGGGAGGTAAGAAACAGCTTCTAAATGGAAAGAGGTATTTGTCACTAGGTTGTATTTAGCCTTGACTTTTTCCAGAGATTTTAGACATGATGTGAAATAATTGCCATCTGTCTATGTCTACCATTACAGTCAGCTCTCTAGAAACACCTGGATTGTGCACCCATTGAGAATCGCAAGGCTGTAAACCATTGGCGTTGTTTGACTGCTGTGTTCGTTTTCTTACGCGCTCTCTGTGGATCACACCGCCCCTTTCGAGGCTGTTGCTGCGGAGGAGGCTTTGCTTTGCTGGCTTGAACCCTTGTGTGCTCTCTCTTCTGCAACCCAGTACTGTCAACTGATTAGGGAATTAGGGAAATCAGGAGGATATGGAATCTCTTAAGGAAGCCACAGCACTCCTCCTCATCTAGCTCTTTGAAAACCAGCTTTGTTAGGGGAATTAGTTTTGCTTTTGGAGTTTTTTTTGAAAGTTCTCTACTGTTGCAGTATTTCTGGTGCTGCTTGTGTTTGGGCTTGCCTTAAAGCAAATACCGTCTGGGCAGCTGAATAGCTCTTTAAGCTCCACTGATAGTCATAAGACCTTGGATATTATGTACACTTCAAAACGTAGGAGGCTTAATCTGGACCTGAATCCTGTCTGCAGTGTCTGTAAGGCAGTTCATAACTACTTCCAAAGACATTGTCCCTCTTTCTGAAGACACATACGGCAATGGCTTTAGCAAAGGCAATGCTCAAGGTGGGGAGGGACGGAGGAAGGGTGGCATTGCATGTTCTGGAACAGAACTTGCTAGTTTACAGATTTTTTAGGCTAAAGATCCTGATAGTAGTCATCCTTCTGGCCCCTGGCCTGCAAGAATTGATCAGCATAAACCACTGGATATGCATACAGAACTTAGGGTTAACCCTATCAGAGGAACTGATCTAGAATGATTTCCCATAATAGGAATTAACATTCAGGAAAGTAACAAAGTGTTCAAGTAAAACATTTGTTGCATTGAGCTAATATTATCCCAAACTCCACTGCATAAGGTATCTCCAATTTTGATCTGGTCCAGGAACACTTGGTGAGGTTGAATCGGTCAAGTGAATTACTTCCCCTGCAATTTTTTTTCTCAGTGCTGGGTTTTGAATGTTCTCAGTGGATAGGCCTTAGCGTGTTTTAGATTTGTGTGGAGATGATAGTCGCAAACAAGCTGTTGGGAAGTTTTGTAGTTGGCAGTGCAGGCGGTAGTGGGAACCCTTGCTAGATTTCAAAGTAACTGCGTGTTGCTTTAGAACTGATTTTGGAATTAGAAAAAAAGCAGCTAAAATGAGACGGCAACAGTTGGCCCCATATGCTGATATCTGAAACCACTCCAGAATCTTGACTGTTAGAAAATCTGGTTTGTGAAAGGATGGTTGGTGTGTGGGAGTAGTGAGGTGTATGGACCTCCAGCTCAGAGAGCAACCTTTCCCACAAGAATCCCATTTGTTTCTTTAGCCAAGTTAAGCCGAGGAAAAAGGCTTCTAAAAGCTGGCCTGTCCCGTCAGTTTTAACGGCTTTGAGTTGTAACGCAGGAGGATCATGCTGGAAAAGAGGAGTGCTGTGTGTCAGCCTGTGCTTGCCGTGTCTGAGGAGAGAAATAGACTTGAACATGTTTTCGTTTTGTGCTGGAGAAAAGCCACAGGTAGGAAAATGCCAGCAGTGACTGAAAACTGCGGGAAGCGCTGGTTCCGAATGACTGCCCCAACTGTGCCGAACGATCCTCCGGTGGTTTGTGGGAGTCGCTTCAAGTCCCAGTGTTACCTAGAGGAGTTGGAGCGATTTCTTGTCGCACAGTGCCCGAGGCCTTTCAACAGCATTCTGTAGATTAGAAGCTTTAATTGAGAAGTAATAAAGTATCTTGTTTTCTACAAAAAAAAGATAAAAGAATATAAAAACATAATAAAGTAATATATTAACAAGTAATAACATATTATGTTTTGCCATATAGTCTATATCTGCTAACTCTTCCACAGCATTTTTATTCCATTTTAACCAAAAGGATTGTTTTACAGCCCGAGTCTGTGACGCTGTTTATGCTTTCATATTGCAAGGGCAGGGTGTGCTGATGAACGTTCCTTCAAAAGTCAGCTGATGAAATCTGTGTTGGAGTAGTTTAAGGAAGGGAGATGACTTTTGATATATTTATCAAAACTTTACCTTTATTGATACAATCACATTTTATTATACCAACAGTATATCAACAGAAAAGAAATCAGATTTATTAAATGTTCTTGTTTGAAGCTGTTGTAGAAGTGTACTTGAAATTAAAAAGTTTGAAAAGACTTGGAATTACTTGCAAAGTATCAGAAACAACAAAAAGCTACGACGTTTTACAACAGAACAAAAGTTACGGTGAAATTGCAGTTTTAGTTGATTCCTTGTCTGCAGTGGTGCTAAGTGAATGTTGCCAGAGGCAACGTGCTGGGGAGGCTGGGTTTTGAAAAGACCTCTTCCAGGCAGAGGCCGCTAAGTACAGACTTGACCAAAAGGAAGAAAGCGGATAGTAAGATGTTATCAAATTGCATGTTTTTCCTTTTTTGTTTTTCTAAAAATCAGTGGGCTGCCCCATACTTCTGAGCCCTTGTGTGCCTGCTGGTATGGCTGTGCGCAGAGACGGAGCAGTGGAAGGATGGTAGTGCCAGCTGCCGGGCGGTGGCGTGGTCTTCGTTTTGGGGAAAAATGTGCAGCACCCACTGATAGCTGCTCTTGTAGGCATCTGACTTGGATTATAATAAGAAATGTGGGAGATGCCTAATGCCTCGAAAGAGAAGCAGAGTTGCCTGTCATCAGAAAATGCTGCGGATGTCGGTACCCTTGCTTTCCTGCAAGCTGTCTGTCTTGAAATATAAACCAGGAGTAAGTGTGTTGAAAATTTTTCTCCAAGAACGGAAACCAAAGAATTTACGCCGCATCTTGGAGCGTACAGTAGTTTTTTTGACATGGTCAATTTTTTAAGGTGGTCACCGAAGTTCTGGAGGGTTAAGATTTTCTGTAATACCCCCAAAAAAGATTAAATATAAATTGTGCCTTTTCTTATCTTTCCAAATAAAGCAAATGCTTCTAACGTCTAGATAGTGACTTTCCCATTTCATCAGATAATCAGGATAGAAAGGCAGTAGGGCTTGGAATCAGTCATTTTACTAAATGCAAAACCTAGAGGGTCATTTCAGGCTTGCTAAACTGAAAAGGAAGCATAAAGTGTTTTTAAGTATTTTGGCTTCTGAGCCCAACACCTTCAGAGAAGGGCATGTGGGCAAAAGTTTTGTTTTTTTTTTTTTTCCTAGTTGTACCATCTGAAAAGGTTGCAGAAGACCAGCGATACTCCCCCACGCTACAACCCCCACCTCTGCTCCTACCCTTCGTGTAACCCTGCCCTGAGGTGGTCACTGCTGCTCGGTCTAGCCTCCACGCGCGTGAGGTGCAGCGGGAACACTTGCCCCCTTGCTCAATGCCGTGTTTGCCTCCTAGGTGTATTATCCCAACTTGGGATGGATGTGTGTTGATGCCACCGATCCAAAGAAAGGGAACTGGCTACGGTATATAAACTGGGCGCGTTCAGGAAAGGAGCAAAATCTGTTTCCTCTGGAGATCAACAGGACCATATACTACAAAAGTTTAAAGGTATCAATATCTGAAGAATCAGTTTACTGCTCTTTTACCTTCTATTACTAATACTTTTTATTCCCCCTTATTCAAATTCTACCTTTTTACTCTTTGTGTTAAACAGATTTTTGAAAGATTTTGTGACGTATAATTAAACCATCACAAATGCTACATTTAATTTGTTTCAATTCTTCTGTGCCAGTACAGTTGACGTGAAGATCTCCTTTTAAATGATAGGACACCTATGAACTCTGTCTGTCTTGTTGGTCAGTGGTTTGCTGTAGCATCAAATTTGATACAAACTAGAATGAAAACTACAGCACACTACGTAAAATACATTTCTGCAGCTACTGAGACGCTTCCTACTGAGGGTTTCGTTCAGAAATCGGTTTGGTTTATGGTCTTTGCAGTGTGTGACAGAGATTGGTTGTCAGGACACTTCCATAGGTAGCTTCAGAAAACACATTTTCCTGGTTTTATACCACTACAGTTTTATTCGGGGAGTGGGGGCAGGAAATAGGGTGTGATTCCTGGGGCTTGGTACCTCCCAAACCAAAAAAACCTGCTTTAACTGTAGCGAAGGGTAGAGCGTGGTAGTGTTAGAATTGTGTGGCTCTAAAGCGCTATCTGAATCTCTGATCAAGATCCTCCTAGCAGTGAGTGTATGTAGCTCCACTTTGTTTTTATTTAGAATGCTTTTGTGGTTTTGGGTACGTGCAGCCTCGCTGTTAGGCCGTTGCTGTTTCTCACATTTCCTTGTAAGGCTCACGATGTCGGTAGGTAGCTGATCCTCACTTAATAACGGAATGAGGCGATACCATGCAGTTTGGAAGTTTATAGGGCAGCACAGCAATATGCAACACTGTTATGTGTTAGGTCACCCAAAATAGATTGAAAAAACCCAAAGTTCTAAACATTTTCTGAGCTTTCTAACAGCTTTGAGGTAGAGGTTCGCTACTGCCAGCCAGACTGTTGCCCTCTCTTCAGTGTTTCCTCACTGAGGGCAGGCTCCCAGCGTGAGTCTGAGGCCAGTTTCGTTTTCTCTAGACACTTAACCTTGGGTTGCCTCTGCCCACAGCCACACCAGTTTGTTAACACAAGAGTACTTTTGGGGGCACTCTGACATTTAATCCTTTCTGCAAAGATTTTAGTCGTTCACATATTTCAAATTTGTTTTCTGATGGATCGTATTGCGCTTTGGGAAATAATTGTACCACTAAAAGAGGCTGAGCAGTGCTGACAGAATAACAAACGCCTTGCCTTGACATCTGAAATACCCTCTTCTCCTGTGACCTGAAGAATTTTATCCTAGTAGGTCTTGCCAGCAAGATTTTGCTGCCAAGCAGCTATTTCTGAAGACTGTTAGAGCAGCCTGTGAGGGTCAGTTTTACTGGTTTCAAAATCTGTGTGGGATTTGTCCCATTTTGAGTTTGGGATGCGAAGGGGTTCTTCAAGGTGCCATGTTCAGCATATTTTGCCCTTGCAGCAGCCTCTTAGATACGTGTGTGCTGTGCCTTCCCCTGCGTGCTGTGGGACTGTCTGTTAGCTTCGGTTCAGCGTTGGCAATGCCAGTCCCAGGCAAGATTCTGGAAGTTCATGCTGGTGCCTGCACTGTGTGGTGGTTGGAGGGGGTGTTAGGTGAGAAGTGGCATTGCCTCCAGGCTGTCTCAGTGCAAAGGCTCGCTGCTCTGCCTCCAGGACAGTGTAAAATCGGCACCTCTGAGTAGTTTTGAACTTGGGTGTCGCACAAAATGGGGTGCTGGGACTGAGCTGGTGTAGAACCACCGAGTTGTTTCTGCCCTGTAGACATAGTTCCAGGAACACAGTATAGACATGCTCCAACTAGTTCTGCGTGAGCCAGATGGTTGTATTAGTAATCCCAGCTCCGTGCTGCTCAGAAGTACCCAAACTGTCTCCAGGACCGAGTTAGTCCAAGAAGCACTGCAGCCACGGTTCAGC